AAGATACCTAAATATAGTACAACAACTATTGATAATCTCATACCTCTTTGTCTGTAACTCAATATTATTTGTCTGTTTTCCTGAGAAACTATCTTGTAGATAACAATATATAAAACAATAACCATTGATAATCTCCTACCACTTTGTCTGTAATTTGGTAAGCCCCCCTATTATTATGTTATCCTTCTTTTACTCTTTAAAATAATAATAAAAAAAGAAAATTAAATACAGGAGTCAAACATGCAACAAACACTTCTACACACATATGCCCATGAGTCTTAAGACTCTACCATCACTTCAATATCCCTTTCTCTTTTGGATTCTTTGAAGCCTGTATATTTTCTGGCCCTATAGAACACATATCCCCATGATGTACACCTGGCATGCCAAGACCACTCACTCCACTGCTGAATACTAGCTCTCACAAATGCACTTCCCCCCTTCCATTGTGTGCGCTTGGGAAGCTTTCTGACAGCTTACGTATACCCTACAGGGGTCCCATAGTGGTTACCAACTGTATGGATCCGTTCAGTTCTTGCTGTAGCCTGGGAAGGATCAGCAGTTAGAATGAGGTAAAAATAGACCAGAGACAAAAGTTGGGATCAGGTGGAGGTCCACTGTCTCTCTCTGAGTGGAGAAGGAGAACTGCTCAAGAACAGTAGAGCATGTATTTATACCCTTGGGAGGTTGATTAATTTCAGCCTTGCTGGCCAGCAATCAGGTAGGGAAAGAATGAAACAACGCAGCCAAGGTCATAGATGGTGATCTCGACTCAGGTTTTCTTTGTCTTCAAAGAATATTCCAGGGCAATGTTAACTCTTCATAACTCCTCCAGAATGCTTCTCAAGACATAGTTGAGGCTTGTACTAAGACTACTCTAATTTAAGAATGATATACTAAGAGTGACCGTTCCCTATGCTGTAATTACTTTCCAACCTCAGCCACTCCCAACAATTTTCATAGGTAAATGATGCAACTCGAGAGCATATTCATAAGCGAAACAAATGAGATTCTCCCTATTGTATTGTGTCCCTAGTGTTAGAAGCAAAACAGTAAATAGTTTCAAATTATATAACAGATACTGAGAAATGGGAAGGACCTGTTCAAAAGGAAAGAGTAACTAGGATGGGGGAAAAGAGAGAAGAAGGAAGGAAAAAGGATAATAAATCAATCATTCACTCCATCAATATATATACAACATAGTAAAGCTGGCTATACCACTAATTAAAACAAAAGTTTGTGCTTTATTATTGGATCAATCTTTCTTGCCTATATCTTGTAATCTGAGCAACTATTTGATGATAGCAATATGCAATGTACTAACCATTTTTCCTCTCCTACTATCTTGTTTTGAAATTTTGTATCAATGTCTACTGCCATACCACCCTGAACTTGCCTGATCTCATCTGAAATTCTGTAGCATTGTTTTTTCTCTTGAAAATGAAAAAAATGCAAAACCTTGATGTAAGCAGGACATGGTTGCCCATGCTTGTAATCCCAACACTTGGGAGGCTGAAGCAGGAGGATTGCTGTGAGGATCCCTATCTCAAAAAAATAAAATAACAAAAACCCAAAATGTGAAGAGCCCACTTACCCCTGCAATTTAGATCTGACATATGCTGCAGTGCTTGAAGCAGCTTTCCTTTGTACTCAGCCTTTCACACGTGGCTGTCATCCGAGCTGATGCGTGGAGAGCAGCTCAGGGTTGAGTGGAGATGGAGGGTGGGGTTCTCTCACCTGTCCCATGGGGTCCACATGTTTTCCCTGTCACCACTTTCTCCTTACTTAAACCATTGCTTGGACAGGCACAGTGTAAGCAAAGAGAAGTATTCCTAGAATATACATCTAGAAGAGAACTTAAAAGTTCATTCATTGACCTTTTGATTTTTGAATTTTTCTCCAATAATTTCTTAACAATATAGTCATTCATCAACAAAGCATAAGCCCAGCAAGGTGAGACGTGCTCTTAGTCGCCTTCTCCTCACTGAGACACAACACCAGCACTCACAGTTGTGGAGAGAAGAGGATTATTTCTGTCCAAGTGTATAGAGGTTGCCGTCCATAGTCCCCCAGCTCCAAATCAGGATGGTGGCATGGTGGAGAGGTTTAGCAGAGGGACAGTGGCTTGTGGCACGGTTCCCAGGAGACAGAGTGAAGACCTGGCTGGACAGGGAGATGTAGACCACACCATTTACTGAGTGACCTGCATCTGCTGAGAAGACCCCACATCCCAGCAGCAAGTCAGCCATCAGCCCCCTTATCTAGTCTGTTATGGTTTTTGTCTGGGTGTCCCCACAAAGCCTCATGCGGTCATGGGGCAGGCTTTTAGAGTTTGATCGATTATGGGTGTGAGAGCTACACCCGCCCTGGGGTGGATTGTTTGCATATGTAAGGGAGGGGAAGAGGCTTCTTGGGGCCATTTCTCCCTTTTAGTGCTTGTTGATTCTGCTGTGTTCTGATGCCATGAGCTTTAGCCCTCTGCCATGTGCCACTCTGCCTTGTAACCTGCCAAGTATGGACTAAAACCTCCACAAACTGTAAGGGAAATAAACCTTTCCTTCTTTAAATTCTGGCATCAAGTATTTTGTGCGGGAACAAAAGAAAAGTAACCAAGACATAGTCACCTCCCCTAAAGCCCAGTCCATGAACTCACGAGGCTTAAAGGAAACCCTACAGACAAACTGTAACACATACCTAAAGTCCAGCTCCTCAGGAGGCTAAGGCAGGTGCAATACAAGTTCAATGTTATTAAAAAGTAAAGTGTATTTAAAACTGAAAGTATGCCCATGTTTCTATATCCTTATACTCGTGAATGATTATCTGCTTCCCAGCCTTGAACACAAAATCTGATCATCTCTAAAGTGTATTCTGAATGACTTCCCAATGGCTCAATACAACCAACTTTTTGAGCACTGGTGCCAAGATCTAGTTCTCTTTGTGGCCAGTTAGTCTAACTACCTGTGAGGGAAAGTTTCTGATTGTTTCATCTTTAGTAGAAAGAGCTGATCTGCCAGCACCCGCCGGAGCTTCCCATGGTAGAGGCATCTGGGACTGACACAGGAACACAGAGCTCATCCTCCTGTCAGACGATGCTGTGTGATATGAAAGGATGCCTTTCCCTACCAGGGCTATAAAGTGTGTGAGAGAAGTGCATGACAAATCCTTGGTGAATAATGGAGACCCAGTCATGGTAACTTTCTTCAAATTGGATCAGGAAGCAGGATTATAACCTCTCTTTCTTCCTGGGAGAGAGGTGATGTCTGTAAGCTTCAGTGGTGCAGCATATGAGTGCAGTGCACACTCAGACCAGACAAGGTACTGTGCTATATGGAGCCTGGGCAGGGCCCAGAGCCATTTCCCTTCAGAGAAGATCACTTGACAGCAGCTGCTATCGGAATGGAATGTATTGTCAAAGGTCCATTGGAATCAGTTGCAGCTCTAAGATGAATGGAAGAGATACATTCAGTCATCCAATGGATAGCAATGACCATATTGTCTGCCTCAGCCTCCTGAGTGCTGGGTGTGTGCCACTGCACTTGGCTCTTCCAATTTTGTGTTTTGTCTTTTTGAGGCAGGATCTGACAATGCAGTTCAGGCTGGCCTCAAACTCACAGGAATCCTCCTGCCTCAGCTATACAAGTGCTGGGTTTATAGGCACATGCCACCATGCCCAGTCTCTCCGACACCCGATACCAGGAATTGAACTCAGGGCCTCTCCCTGGCCAGGCAGGCAGCGTGCTGCTGAGATACAATCCCAGGCCTAAACTTTTTTCGTTTGTTAGCTCTGTTTATTTTTTTTTTTTCTTTTTGGAGACAGGATCTTACTACGTAGTTCAGGGTGGCCTTGACATCCCAGTAATGGTCCAGCCTCAGCCTTCCAAGTGCTGGGATTACAGGCCTGCACCACATACCTCATTTCTTCCACTTTTTTATACATTTGTAAACCATATACAAAATGAAGTTTACTTAAAATATTTAAAAAATATATGCATATCCATTTCTTTATCCCCATAGTTGTTACTGAAGTTCCAGTTGATGAGCTGAACTAAAACCAAGACAAACACAAAAATTAGCTCAGGATGAGTAAATAATTGCTCAATACAGAGAACCTCGTGATCAAGGTGCACACATTTGTTTGTAATCATTCAGCAGGAATTTTTTTTATAAAATCAGGAAGGTCAGCTTATAAAAACACAAAGTCTTACCGTCTAGCAGACGCTTCAGCTGCAACCCTAGCACAAGGCACAAAGAACTCACCATCATGTCAGACAGCTATGTGTGGTTTGAAGGGATACGTTTCCCTGGGTCAGGTTTCGATCCTGAAGTATTTAGAGAAGTACGGGACAAGTTTGTGGTGAAGAATGAAGATACGATAACAGTGACTTATCCGAAATCAGGTAAGGATACAGTATCAGAATGAGTCATGAGAAAAGGTGTGGCTGTGGGCTTCAGTCCCTGCAGATGAATAGAAAGTTTGTACTGTGTCAGAATGAACGAGAGAGCTTTGAGAAGCATGGAATGGTGTCCAGTAGCATTTCCATGCAGAGAAGAGGATGCAGCCCAGCAATTACACAAGGAGATGAAAGTTCAGAGGGACCACCTGGGGTCCTACAGAAATATGACCAGGGGAAACTAAAGCAGTGTGTGCAATGGAATAATTGTATGTGGGTGGAGGTGATAAAAGATGACATTGGAAGTCACAAGGCACTCATAAGCAAAGGAGGATGAGAATTGAGTCAAAGGGCTTTAGCAAATAGCCAGAGAAGCCATTTGAATATCTACTGTCAGAAAACTAGAGGGCACTCAAATATGCACTGTGAGATGGATGCATCAGCCAAATGGGAAATATACACACCATGGAATAGTGTGTGAGCAGAAACAAAATTCAAACACATGACACAACGTGGATGAATCCTGAGGTTATTCAGCTAAATGAAGTAAGCCCATCATGAAAGGAGAACTGTTGTATGAATCCTCTTATGTGAAATACTTGCACTACTCAAATTCCTAGAAACAGAAAGTAGAATGCTGGTTGCCCTAGGGTGCAAGGTGGGCCACTAGGAACTTGTTATTTATTGAGTAGAAAGCTTGTTTTCTTAGACACATATTTGGAACATTGAGCCACAACTGCAGTATACTAAATATTACTCTATAAAGCTGTAACATATAGATGAAAATGGCTGAAGTTTACTTTTATGCTGTGCATATCTCAGCAGAATTGTTTATACAACTCGTGTTGACATGAGTGACCATCATTCCTCTTTCTTTTTCAGGAACGAACTGGTTAGTTGAGATTGTCTGCCTGATTCATTCTAATGGGGATCCCAAGTGGGTCCAATCAGTGCCCACCTGGAACCGTTCACCTTGGGTGGAGACTATACCTGGCTATGAGTTCTTGAAGGATCAGGAGGGCCCACGCATCTACACATCCCACCTGCCCATCCATCTCTTTCCCCAGTCCTTCTTCAGTTCCAAGGCCAAGGTCAGTATATCCTGCTTGAGAGATGTTTATTCAGTCTATCAGTGTCTTGGCCTAGCTCCACGTGGATGGCTTAAATACAAGGGACAAATGATTTTTGGGCTCCAGGAGGATTGAACAACTCTGAAGGAGTTTGAGAGTCTCTGGGGATTGAGACAGAGAACTTCTCTGAGTGGCCAGTACTTCTTTGGTTTTCAAACAAAGGAAGGGGATGGTGAGGCAACCCCGGGAACTGAGCAGGACCTTGGAGTCAGTTCAAAGAGCTCTCCAAGCAGCAACTTGTGCCAATGAAGAGGACTGTTTGATCTGTAAGGTTGGCAGCTGTATTGATCTGCACTAGTCGGTGTCAGCAGCCCAAGTCATTGGTTGCCTCAGCTGTGGTTATCTTGTCTTCAGAGCACTGTGCATGTGCTCTTTCCCAGGCCAGCCAGAGGCCCTGTGTTGAGCAGCTTAGCTCTTACAGCCTGTTCTCCAACACAATCTATTTAAACTGTTTTGTGCTTAAATATCCCCTGGCATTTGAGCTGGAATGGATTCTCATAGGTAGAACTGGGTGGTATGTAAGAATCTCGTGGATTAGATGGTGCTGCTGTGTCCACCCCTTAGGTCATACTTGAATAAAAGTATGTGGACTGTTCCACATATATAAATAAGTCTCCCCAGATGAAGACTTATTAAAAGGGTGATGTGAAAGTATAAGACCGGTGTCTTAGAAACCCATATTTAAGGCCAGTGAGGGTTTATGTCTATGAGACAGAAGATTTCCCCCCTTTTGCTTCTACCTTATAAGGTAACTGAGCACTCCTAATCACCGAGTCCCTGTAAAGCAGGACTTCAAAAGAAAAAAATCAAGTTTTCACGAACATCTTCTGCCCTACAGTAGTTGTTCTTTCTTCTAATAAAGATAAAAGCAGTAACTTTTGTCCCTGTAAGCAAAGTTTGATAAAATCCTATTCCCTGATCATTCTCTTTGGCCCAAGCAAGGCCACAATGATATGCTGTAAAACTGTCACAGCTTAACAAACTGCCTGTGTTTTACTTCTGTAAACTTGCCCACCCAAATTTCCTGCCACTAGAGGGACCAAGTCCTGAGAACCAAGTTTGTAAAACAGGAGCTTCCTCCTTTGTTCAGCACTCAGATGTTTTGAACCCGAGTGCCCTTAGCCGGGTGTACATCTAGTTAGTCCTCCTGGTTCTCCCACGGTCTTTCCTGACTGTTCAGTTCTGCAACATCCCACTAATGTGTGTGGAAACTCACCTGTCAGCGTTGCCCACGTGGGAAGTCGTGGTTCACACACTCACCGATGGCCAAGTGAGTGATCTGGAAAAATTTCAAGGAGAGAAATGAATATTTCCAAGCCAGCAGAGAGGCTGAAAGA